AGTAGTTCCAACACACAAACACACACACACACACACACACACTTTCTCTCACACAATGATCTTAACTCATCAAGATACAATATCCATACATATGAATTCAGTATTGTTAGGAGACATCCACTTTAGACAGAACCTGCCGCACATGAGGGGATTAGATTATCCTATACAGAGCTTGATGGAAAATGGATTTTCCAGATTATTGGACCTCGGCTTCCAGCATTCCTGGTTGTGCTGGTAGGGACATTGAGTACCAAAATCTGGAGATCTCCCTTTTTCCTGCCCCTGTGCTAGCCTACAAATTAGTATTTGGAGAACACAGTGATGCTTGAGAATAGAGATGTTGGCCTTCATTGTAGATTAGTAGTAAATACTGGTACAAGATACAAAACGGGCATTCCTGACATCACCTCACCAGCAAAAATGCTTAAAATATTTTCTGCATTAAGTAAGTAATACATCAACAGTCAAACTGATTAAATTTGATAACCATTGACCTCCCCACTCCTTTGTTAGGAAGACTGTGGAGTGAGATAAAACAGTGTCATAGCTATGAAGGCAAACATCCTAGCATCCAATAAATGATTTTATGTAGATATTTTGTTAAGAGCGGTTCCCATTTCCTTGTTTGTTAATGAGTTGACTCATCCAGATTTCAAAAGCCCAGTTTCCAACACCAACCAGAGAGATTTGAATTTCTGCCAAGCAGGGTTTGGAAGCCGAGATAACAGTCAGCAACAACAATAGTACTCCTTGGTCCATTTGCCAAAAACAATTGGCAGAAAGAACTTGCCTTATAACTTATCACTTGGTACAGTGAGGGCCCTGAAACTCTGGAAGAACAGACAGACTGTTTGCTTGCAGCACATACATGGCAGGATGCACGAAAGAGGCAGGCTCCTGCCAGGGAGCTGCTTGAGTTTCCATTTATCACCATTTTAAAGTTATTTGTTTACAGTTTTGAATGTGTGCCCTGACCTAGCCTAGAATCATAAAAATTCTCTGTCCCAGCAGGAATGTATGGCTATAGTTAGAACAAAAAGCCTTCTTCCTGCAAAATATTGTCCCTTTGACTGACCAGCCCGAGTGAGTGGGCTGCATGATGGCAACCCAGCCCAGGTGAAAAATAGAATGGGCCACACTTAACCGTCCAGCATGATCTGCTCCTCCTCTGACCCATCTCATCTCTTCTAACACAAAATTAAAGCAAGTTCCATTCAAAATTAACCATTATGTCTCCCTGCTATTCATGGGAATTCCTTTCAACGCATAAGTTTGCTTGACTGACTCAATCTACCCCTTTCTATGTTATCCCACAAACCCTTCCCTTATCCTCTAAGGGAACAATCCTATGCATGTTAAAAGCTGTAGGATCTTTTCCTGTCTAAACATGCATAGGATTCACACCCTAAGCAATTCCTTTTAGGCCAGGGGCCAGGAGAGGCAGCTGCCACTTCTTTTTCTTAATAGGCTTCCATGAGGTGGGGATGGCCTCCTTTTTGTTCCCTTTCTTCCTTAAATATTTCCTTAAAGTGTTAGGAACAGGAGCACTTTGGATCTAATGAACTGAAAGCTTTCCCTGATTTACTCACAGAGTGCCTCTTTTTTTGTCCTTGGTACCCACAGAGCACCTACAATGGAGTAGCAATGGTGGCAGAGGTTTCTGCGGCCCACACCAGTAGGCTTCCAATGGCAGATCTCTCCATCCACAGAGTGGGAAGCCCACAATGTTCTCTGTCCCCTGAGATGCCCTTGCAAGGAGCATAGGACAGTAGTGCACTGGACCCTAGTGGATGTAGCCGGGGCACTTTGAATCCAGCCTGCACCTCCTCTCCCACCCCCTCATTGCCATTAGGCTTAGGAGAAAGGATCCCATTACAGGATGGGGGGAGCTGATCTATTTTCTGACATTTTGGTTCCTCAACTGTACATTTATTACAATTTTTGGAAAAGAAAATAGTGTCTGAATTTTTATTCCTTTTTGCAAGCAATTTTGAGTTGCCATTTGATGGCAAGGAAATATAGGTTATACATGGAAAAATAAATTTAGCAGAAGTAATAAAAACTGTTGGCAGCTGGTGGTCCGGAAAGGCCATCTGATTGTTTATAGATGGTTACTGCCTTGGCAGAGATCTGTGATACACTCCTCTGAGTTTTGAATGGCTGCATCCTAATATTGAACATGATGTTATTGTCTTCAGAACCGCTGTGATGTTTTTAAATTTTAATCCCCAGGGTTTCAGGCACTATTATTGTCATTTATTTTTGTGCACGAGGCACTTTAAATTTCAGATTGAAAACATGTTGTCTCTTTCGACAAAAGAATACCCTGCAATTCTAAGTGAAAGAACAAAGCAGGACGATATATTGGCAAAGGAAATATAAGGCCTTTAACATTTTACCATGCGGTTTATCTGTGCAGTCCAATACATATTTCTTATATTTTATATTTACTGCATAAGCTTTCATATAATTTCCTCTATGCTTTGGTGACAGTCTCAGTAAACATCGACTGTCACAGTTTAATACAAGGCCTTTGGTAATACCTTCAGAAATCAGAAGATCCACATTCCATTAGATCCCTTCATTCTATTATTAGCTACTCCAAGGTCTACTTTGTTGCATAATCTCAGGCACAATTAAAAACTTAAGGCAGAAGCCAGTTGTACCAATTTAATGCTACAATCTTATGCTCATTTGTCTGGGAGTAAGTCCAACTGAACTTACGTGCATTCAGTGCAAGTTCTAAATAGATGTGCATAGGATGGTGCTATTCAAGCTGCACAAATAGTTGCATACATTTGGGGATGTATGGGCATTTTTGCACCTTAGATGTTCTAAAGGTCAGTGAACTAATGCTTGTGGGGAGAGCACATAGCCCTTTCCCTCCTGCATGTAGCTAGCTAGAATGTAAAAACATTCCATTATTTGGACATTAGTCAATACTTTCTCAGCAGCTGGTAATCTGTGGGCATGCACTGTGGGGTCATTGGAGCTGTTCAAGCAGAGGAGGGCTTGAGATTGCTATGCAAGCTGTTGACTCTCTCTACAGATAGCATTGTCATTTATGTCGGTGCAATTCCTGGTTGTGCCAGAATCATTACACCATCCTTTCCTCCTCAGTCTAACTCCCATTCTAAGCTGCAACTAGCTTCTTGAAGGAAAAGTAGATGTGCTGGTATCTACCCTTGTCCTGTCTTCCACTCATCAAGCCAGGAGGAGGGGGCAGAAGTTAAAAAAAAAGTTTCATATTGATAATGAGGTAGGGAGAAAACGGGCTAGTGTTGCTGTAAATCCTGGTATCTAGTAAATATGTATTTTCGCTTCTGTGTACTCTGAGAATCAATACACATTTAATAATTTATTTTTATTTAAAATATTTTTATCATGTCCTTTCCAATGAAAGGCTCAGGACAGCTTACAATGATTAAAATAGACTATAATGATACAATAATTAAAACAATAGATAATAGGCCAACATAAAACAAACACTTTCATAAAACTTAAGAAAAGAAAGAAAGGATGTTAAAAAACCCAGAGCTGGTCAGTGCTGCAGGATGTATAATTTCTGCTCCTCTAGGGCTTCCTTTGTTGGAGTTACCCCAAAGGTCAATGCTGAAGATTTCCATTTAACCAGAGACTAATAAGGGTGCCCTGTAAAAAAGGATGTGACCCCACAATCCCAAGCTCTGCACATCCACTCTGGCCTCTCCCACTTGTTTCACCCTTAGCTCCACCTAAGATCCTTCCAGCTGAAGGAAAGACTCTATGGCTTCATCTCCCGATATATCCTTCTGTTGCTGTCTGTAGGTATTCAGATCACCGACAAAAGCACCAGTAGGACAGCATATGCAACTATGCATGAGCTAATCCATTAAATGTGCTGTTCTGTGCCTATGTGGACAGGATGCTGGATAATGGGAATAACCATACTAATCCACTAATAATCAAACAGGTATCCCCTTGCCCACAGCCTGAGAAATGCAGTTAATGAACTAGGTACATTTTCTTTAGTTGCCTAGCTTGAATTAAACCCTTACTGAATTAAGCCGTACAAACACCCATTTAAATCAGTGTGCAAGTTACCCATTGTGACAAATCCCACTGATATCAGAAGGTTAACTCTTTTAAGTGTGGCCGCATATGAATCCAATTCACTGCTTGCAGTACGCTTTAAATGTGGCTTTCTCTAAACTGCACTTACTGACTCCTTAAAGTTATTACCCTCTCATCTCTTTTTCTCCCCTTTGATTTTCTTTGCCATCTATTAATATTAAAGAATCTTTCTACACAAGTATGTAGTTCCTGCTGCTTGAATCCAAACATCTTTTCAGAATACCAAGTCTCAAGCTTCATGCTGCCATTTCAGTGAATTTATTATTTTGTTGGCACATTTAGTAGATTTATAATAAACATTTCTGCCTGCTACAGACATTACATTCCAGTTTATTAATCACTTTGAGGGAGCTGATCCCATTATTTATAACAAATTTGTGGTTTATTCAGTCTGCAATTCAGTTAAAAATAATAATAATAAAACCTTGGATTTAAATTACTGTGATCCAGGAAAGAGCTCACTTTTCAAAAAATGGATTTCACACTTAGGCTGAAGTGATCATACCCAGTCCTTGGATTTCTTCTTTTATAGAAAAACACTGTTACTCAAAAGGCAAATCCTATCAAATGTCTATGAAGTTACCATTTTCTTACATCATTGTGAAAAGAACATTTGTTTTTGTGCAGCTCTCATTAATGTCAATGAGAATCCTTCAAAAGAATGTGCCATTCATCAGTTAATGTGACAACACGGTCTGAGTGAGGTTTTGTTTATGCTTATACTATCCTTTGTTAAGGTGCTGGATTTAAGAGCTGTTAAGCAAACTATATATCTGGTACCAGTATCAGAAAGCAGGTCCTACTGCAGATGTATCAGCAAATTTGCCATTCTAGGGAAGGTTGAAAGCAAGAGAATCCTTCTACCTTCCTCTTTTCTTTGTTCTCAGGTCCTCATTCCAGTTCCAAGTCTTCCATCTTTAGAGAAGCTCCATGAGTTATATCATTTTCCCAGTAACCAAGAGCCATTTTCTGCTGCATTTCCTTGCAGATGGTCAATAGGTAGTGCAAATGCCAGTGCAAACCCCATTAATTTGGGAGGCAAACCCAACAAATGATGGGGAAAATAAAAAAAGGACTATCTCATGGCACAGAAAACTTGCTCCTGTGGGCATAACAGCAAATAGTTGAAGATTAGTTCATAGTTGAAGAATTAAAGATCTTCTGGAAAGCAGGGCTGAATGAGGTAGTTTTGAGCTCTCATCCCCACCTGAACAAAAAGATCCACAGTGCCAAGCTGTCTTCTATTTAGTCTCATGGAGAGGATTCTAGAAAGCCACCCGAGGAACCTGAAAGTGTCTTCACCACCTATCTGGCCATTACCTTTGAAAGGGTTTTAGAGAACTATTCCTTGAACACTAACATGCAGAAGGAAGAGATTTTTACTGAATCGCCTCAAAAAACTTAAGCCCTACTAATTGCAGAATACTGCTGAAGTTTGTGCATATGTTCCGAGGAGACCAAGTAGGTTGATGTGATCCACTTCAGCTTAAGATGAAACAGCCAGAAGATCTCAAACATTTAGAAAGCAACCTACCCATATAATTTTTTGGCTTGTGCATGTTCTAAGATGGTACAATAATATATGATCTTGATTTACTCAGAACTCTCATAATATGGAACCAAAAGAACATCTTCACTTGGAACCAATTACTCTAAAGCAGCCAATAACTGAGGTGATATAATTGAAGAAGTGAACTTACTGACAAAGTTATAGCAGTAAATAAGGGCAAACAGGACAGCGTGGGCACACAGATATGTTTCACTTGAATCTGCACTCCAGATTAAAAGGAAGTGGTGCTTTCCAAGGACACATGTCCATACTGCATTGTGATCTACAGTGCCACACTGGGAGCATGAAATGCTGACCTGTGTTGTGAATCTCCACTAAGTGGGTACAAGGAGAGCGTACACACACACACACACACACACACACATTATGGGATTGTGCTTTTGGACTGTTATTGCCATCTGTTAGACTGTCAAGTGCATGTCTTGTGGATGGCAAAACTATGTCATTTTATTCAACAACTTTCCACTCCCACCCCTGTACAAGAGGTACAGATCATTGATGTAATTGGGATAGAAGCTCACAGATAGCAGCATCACTTTTTCCCTCTACTGAGATTACAATATCCTTCCTAACCAATGACAATTGAGCTGTCATGAAAATTACATCATATTATCTCTCCAGAGAGACCAGCATTTCAGTCAAAGGACAGCTGTCAAAACATACTTGACTACGAAATTCAGAAGGTTTCTAAGAGCATGTGCATTAGTTTGTTTTCCTTTGAATAGTCTACATTTTAGGACAAATTAAGAGCAGTATATAAATTGAAATGGTTCATAGAATTGGCTTAGAATTTCTTAGATGTCAACATCAAAAATAATTCATTTACATGAATCTGACCGAACACACTTGAGAGCCCACTATCGGGCCTATGCTGTGGCGGTGAAGGCAGCAAAAAAGAAGTTTTTTTCCGCTTCCATTGCCTCCTCACAATGCCGTACGGCGGAGCTTTTTCAAGTGGTGCAAGGCCTGGTTCGCCCAGGTCCTAAGGAAGATCCGGTTCCACCCTCAAAGGCCCGCTGTGACGACTTTGCCAGGCATTTCAGGGAGAAAATCGCTCAGATTCGTCACGAGCTGGACACCACTAATGAATCAGAGGTTTCTGGGGAGACGCCAATGCTGCCGTCTGGTCCAGAATTATTGGATGAATTTCAGTTATTGCGGCCCGATGAGGTGGACAAGGTGCTTGGACGAGTACATCCCACCACTTGCCTATTGGACCCTTGCCCGTCTTGGTTAATAAATAATTCCAAGCACGGGATTGGGACCTGGATCTTGGAAGTGGTTAACGCTTCTCTGAGGGAGGGTCAGGTGCCTGCCCCTTTAAAGGAGGCGGTAGTCCGACCGGTCCTGAAGAAAGCGTCACTGGATCCAGAGATGGCCACTAACTATAGACCTGTGGCCAACATCCCGTTTCTGGGCAAGGTGCTAGAGCGGGTGGTGGCAGGACAACTCCAAGCACTCTTGGATGAAACTGATTATCTGGACCCATTTCAGTCCGGCTTCAGACCTGGGTACGGTACTGAATCAGCCTTGGTCACCCCATACGATGACCTGTGCAGGGAGAAGGACAGGGGGAGTGCGTCCCTGTTGGTTCTTCTGGACCTCTCAGCAGCTTTCGATACCATCGACCATGGTATCCTTCTGGATAGGCTAGCAGGATTGGGGGTCGGAGGCACTGCTTTGCAGTGGTTCCGCTCCTATCTCAACGGCCAATTCCAGAAGGTAGTGCTGGGGGACTATGGCTCTGTGCCATGGCAGCTATGCCATGGAGTACCACAGGGCTCCATTTTGTCCCCTTTGCTGTTTAACATCTACATGAAACCGCTGGGAGAGGTCATCAGGAGGTGTGGGCTGCGGAATCATCAGTACGCTGATGATACCCAGCTCTACCTCTCGTTTTCCACTAATCCAGGTGAGGCAGTGGCTGTGCTGAACCGGTGCTTGGCCGAGGTAATGGGCTGGATGAGGGTCAATAAACTGAAGCTCAATCCAGACAAGACGGAGGTCCTGTTGGTTGGCGGATCAGGCTTCGGAGAGGGTGGATTTGACCTGGTCCTGAATGGGGTTGCACTCCCTCTTAGGGACAAGGTCCGCAGCTTAGGAGTGCTCATCGACCCGGAGCTTTCATTGGAAGCTCAGGTAACAGCGGTGGCAAGGAGCGCTTTCCTTCAGCTTCGGCTGATTAATCAGCTGCGCCCCTACCTGGAGTACGACTGCCTGGCGACGGTGACACACGCGCTGGTGACTTCTCGCCTTGACTTCTGCAACGCGCTTTACGTGGGGCTTCCCTTGAAGACGGTCCAGATACTTCAATTGGTTCAAAATATAGCTTCCAGGTTGCTGACGGGGACGGGGCGTTATGTTCACATGACTCCAGTCCTCCGTCAGCTTCACTGGCTTCCCATTGAAGTCCGGGCACAATTCAAGATGTTGGTTATGACCTATAAAGCCCTAAACGGCTTGGGTCCTGGTTAACTGAAGGAGCGCTTACATCCATATATGCCCGACCGCCCCTTGAGATCTGCGGGAGAGGCCCTTCTTCGGGAACCCTCCATGAAAGAAATTAGGAGGGTGGATACTCGGAGGAGGGCTTTCTCTGCGGTGGCGCCCAACCTATGGAATGCGCTCCCCAGACAGGTCCGCCTGGCGCCGTTGTTATTTGTTTTTTGGCGCCAGGTGAAGACCTTTTTATTTAAACGTCATTTTAATTGTTAACAATATTTGCTTATTTATCTGGCCAGGGCGACTTCTTTTATATTTTATATTTTATATTTATTTTATATTGTTAATTTTAATTTTATATTGTTATTTTTGTATTTTATTGTGGTGTAAGCCGCTCCGAGGCTTCGGCAAGGAGCGGCATAGAAATGTTCTAATAATAATAATAAAATAATAATACATTTAGCACTATTTGTTAGAAGCAATCGGGGATCAAATTTAGACCTGTGGCAAATGGCACAATTTCACTGATTTAACAAAGCTGTGACAAGCAACTAGCAACAAGATTTTGCCTAAATAATTTAAAGCTAGCTATAACACAGAGCATATGATTATGTCATGAAAGTCTTGCTTTTTTTTTAAGAAGTGAAAACAGAGAGAGTACAGCACAAAAACCCTCTCTTGGATAACTATCACATTTGACTTGAAATTACTGTACCTATTTTATTTTACAATTTTTATTCACTTCTGTTAAACATCAGATGGTCAAGGTCTTGTAACATGCCTTAAGCACCTTACATTATCTTGTCAAATGTGAAAAATAATGCAACAACAGAGTTCTGTAATTTGATATTTTTTATTATTTATTTATTAAAAGCTTTTGTATGCCATTCTATTATACAAGATCTCAGAACAGCTTACAATACCTTATAATAAGGTTCAGCACTGCAAATAAACTCATCCTTTTAATACTGCATGTGAATGACTAGATTGCTATTCTTTTTGGTAACAAAAAATAACTTGGAACAAGTTCAGAGTCGTAGTATCCTTGAATAAAATATTTATTTTATTATTTATTTTATTTTTATACCAACTCACAGCCCAAAGGGGCTCTGGGCAGTTTACACAGTCAAAAATATTTCAATAAAACACAAGCAACATATAATAATCAAACAATACAATAATACCAATAAATAAATAATAACAAGCCCACAGCAGCAGTAATCAAATTGGCAAACAGGCACAGCAGAGATATAATAAAATACAAAATTAAAACTAAAACTAAAAATGTAGCAGTTAAAATGCCCAGAAAATAAAAAGGTTTTTGCCTGGCACCAAAAAGAAAAAAGGGTGGGTGCCAGGTGTACAACTTTGGGGAGCTCGTCCCATAAATGGAGTGCCACAACTGAAAAAGCCCTACTTCTCATTGCTGCCCTCCTTACTTCCACTAGAGAGGACTCCCTAAGAAGGACCCCAAACGATTTTCTGGAGGTCTAGGTGAGTACATATGGGAAGAGGTGTTCCTTCAGATAACCTGGCCTCAGGCAGTTCAGGGATTTATATGTTAGTACCAGTATTTTCAACTGTCCTGGATTTCAACTGGGAGCCAGTTTACCTCACAGAGGTCTGACCTAATAGAATCTCATAGACCAGTAAAAGGTGAACCTTTTAGAGACCGAGTGCCCAAACTGCAAACCAACACCTACTTATTTGTCGCAAAGTGCCAACACTACAATAAAACTTGAAAACTAAGGTTTTAGTTTAGAAAAAACTAAAACCTACCATCAGTCCAAGCAAATATATGTACAGCCTTGGAAGGGCACTGACCGGCCGTGCGACAGCTCAGACACCTTGCGCCTAATGAGATGCAGCACGTGATGTCATCACCAGGCACCGCTACCCCTTTCTGAGCATGCAATAGGCCAAATGTGCGCTGTTATCTGATGCTTGGCTGCTGGGGCGACTTGGCTTGCATGCCGATGGATAGGGCTTTGCGTGCCCGCTACAGCACGCATACCATACATTCGCCACGACTGGCCTACCCATACCCTCGTGCACACCCCTAACCCTAACATAACGATAAAGTTCCATTGAAAATAATCTGATTTTGAAAAAGCCTTCCTTGAGGAGCAATTTCTGCAAAGCCCATCATCTCTGCCCATTCTAAACACACTCCAACCATCAAAATCATGCCAGGACACCTGGTTTTTCTAGCCCTAACCCTACCCTGGTGCACACCCCTAACGCTAACATAGGGTTAAAGGTCCATTGACAATAATGCGATTTTGAAAAATCCTTCAGCAGCTTTTTCTGCATAGCTCCTTATATCTACCCAGTCTAAACACATTCCAACCATCAAAATCATGCCAGGACACCTCGTTTCTCCAACCCTAACCCTACCCTGGTGCACACCCCTAATCCTAACATAGGGCTAAATGTCCATTGACAATAATGCGATTTTGAAAAAGCCTTCCTTGAGCAGCCTATTCTGCACAGCTCATCATCTCTGCCCAATCTAAACACGTTCCAACCATCAAAATCATGCCCGGACACCTCATTTTCCTAACCCTAACCCTACGCTGGTGCACACCCCTATCCCTAACATAGGGCGAAAGGTCCATTGAAAAGGGGGTGATCTTGAAAAATCCTTGAGTAGCCTTTTCTGCACAGCACATCAGATCTGCCCATTCTAAACACATTCCAACCATCTAAATCATGCCAGGACACTTCGTTTTCCTAACCCTAACCCTACCCTGGTACACATCCCTAACCCTAACATAGGGCTAAATGTCCAATCAAAATAATGCGATTTTGAAAAACCTTCCTTCAGTAGCTTTTTCTGCATAGCTCATCATATTCTCCCATTCTAAACGCATTCCAACCATCAAAATTATGCCAGAACACCTCTTTTTTCTAACCTTAACCCTACCCTGATGCCCCCCCACCCTAACATAGGGCTTAAGATCCTTTGAAAATAATTCAATTTTGAAAAATAATGCCAGGACACCTCGTTTTCCTAACCCTAACCCTACCCTGGTGTACACCCCTAACCCTAACATAGGGTGAAAGGTCCATTGAAAATAATGTAGTGTTAAAAAAGCCTTGAGTAGCCTTTTCTGCACAGCTCATCATCTCTGCCCATTTTAAACACATTCCAACCATCAAAATCATACCAGGACGTGAACAGGTAAACAAAGTGGGGTGGACTTGTGATAATGCGAAAAAGTATTGGATTAACATACATAAATGGATGGAGGAAATATTACAAAAACCCTTTGCTTTTAAACCTGAAGTTTTCTTGTTAGGCATCATACCGGAAGACATTAACAGACAGGAAATGTATTTGATGTTACACCTAATCACAGCAGCGAGGATTGCAGTTGCTCAATATTGGAAAAGTGAGGAGCTACCCACCGATGGATTGATTGTAAGAAAGATCTTGGACTGCGCAGAAATGGATAGATTGACTTTATCATTGAAGGAGAAAGAGGACACTGACTTCTATCAAACTTGGGATTTTTTCTGTAACTAGCTGGAGAAACGGGACTTGGCGTAAACTTAGAGATGTTTTCAAATTATTATAAACTGATTTGAATTTGACTATAGAATGTTAAAAAATATGTAGTAGGGGGTTGACCCAGTAAATCCGATGTATGTGATGTTTGATGTTTTTAGTATTAGTTTAAAATGTTAATAAAATTAAAAAAAACAAAAACAAAATCATACCAGGACACCTCCTTTTTCCAACCCTAACCCAGTGATGGTGAACCTTTTAGAGACTCAGTGCCCAAACTGCAACCCAACACCCACTTATTTATCACAAATTGTGAACACTTCAATAAAACCTGAAAACAGCAAGTCCAAGCAAATATATATATATATATATATATATATATATATATCCTTGTCAGCGCACTGACCAGCCATGCCTAAGCTCGGACAAGTTGCGGCTAATGTGCCATGGCTCATGGTTTCATCGCCTGGCACCACTACTCCTTCCCGATGCGCATGGCCCCTATGTGCGTTGTTATCTGCTGCTCGTCTGCTGGGGTTAGGTAGGCTGTGTGCCTACTGTGGCACGTGTGTCATAGATTTGCCACCACTGTCATAGACCATTCCCTTTAACAGCCACACTGCCCCATTTTGAAACAACTGATGATTCTAGACCATGTTTAAAGGCAGTCCCATATAGAGTGTGTTACAATAGTGCAAACAAGAGGTTACCAGAGCATGGATTACTGTGGCTAGGCTCTGCCCAGATAGGGTCATCAGTTGATAGATCAGCCTAAGCTGAGAAAAGGTGCTCCCTAACACTGTGTCCACTTGTAACTCGAGCAACAGTTTTTCATCCAGGAGTACCCCAAACTATGAACCTTGTTTTTTAGGGGGAGTGCAACCCTGTCCAGAATAGGTTGAACATCTTCCAACTGGTCAGACAACCCACCCACCAAAAGTACCTCCATATTGTCTGGATCAAGTGTCAGTTTGTTGGCCTCAGCCAGTCCATTAAGAATCCCAGACACTGCCTCTCCTGGGTTTGATGAATAAGAGTGATAGAGCTGAGTGTTATCTGCATATTGTTGATGCCTCAGCCCATACCTTGGGATAACCTCCTCTAGCATGTAGATGTTAAAAAGTGTGGGGGATAGAATAAATGCCATGGTGCAGAGCAATAATGCCCTTCTGGAATCGGCCAGTTACATGGGAGGGGAACCACTACAATGTTGTACCTCCAGACTCCCAACCAAACCAGCCTATCCAAAAGTATTTGGATATTTAGCATGTAAAGGTTTCCAAGCTGATCCTTGGCATATATTAAGATCTGCTTGCCACATTTTTTGCAAGTTGATATAAGCCCAAGTTCCACAAAGGTAAATAATTAGGACCTTCTAGACATTTTCAGAAACCATAACTGCCCTCCCCCACACATATATCAGTATATATTTGTGTTTTTTCTGTTTATCTGAGTGCAAAGCCTATGCATGATTTGACAAAAGTAAATGCTATAACGCCCAGCATTTCCTAGCCAGCATATGTCTAAACATCCATAGGATTGTATCCTGTCACATACCCAAAAATCTTACTGCAACTTCAGAGGAAGCACACATTCAGCACAATCCAGAAGGAAGCTTCATTATATTAGATGGAGCTTACTACCAGGTCAGTCCATAGTCTTAGAATGTCACGGCACAAGTTCTTTTACAGAGAATTAAGAGAGGAAGTGTGCGAGCAAACGGATTCCTTTATACACCTGCTACGAGGTAGAGACTGATACAGTAGCAGCCCTCTTCTTGCAGGTGGACCTTTCTCTGAGTTCCAAAGGTTTGCTGTCACCTTTTTTCCTTTGCCGTCGCAATTCAGCTGCCTGACACATAGAAGAAATTACGCAAGCGCTGCTCCGCCCGCTACGCTGGCATACCAGGAGAGCGGCACCTGTTGAATTCCTGCCGACGAAGCAGCCGGTAAAGGCCCAGGGAGGGCTGGGTGCCAACAACTGTAGAGCTGCGATCCTACACTCTCTTTGGAGAGTAAGACTTACTGAAATGCCTAGCAATGAGTAAAATATACTTTGGGCCACCCAACAATGAGTGATTTCCCCATCGACCTTGAGCTCCGGAGCCTCTTCTGAGCGGAAACAATGGGCAGCTTTCCCAATCCAGCCTCTCTCCAGCCTGAGCCGGGAGCAAAAAAAGGCGGCAAAGAAGACGCGCCTCCGCGTCGCCGGCCTCTTCCAGCCCCTCCCCGTCGCCCTTTGACTCTCCGAGGCGGGCTGGGGGCGGAGGCTGGTGGAGACGCCGCCCGGGCAGCCGCGGGAGGGGTGGCAGAGGCGACGTGGTTCGAGCCGGCTTCTTGTCTTCCCCCTCCTTCCGCGCCTTGGCATGGGCACCATGGTTGCCGCTCTCCGTCCTTGGGCCTCCTCTCACGCCTCCCGCCTGGCTGTCCTGCTCGGCTGCCTGCTCTTACGCGGTGCTCCCGCGCGGGCCGAGGAGGCGGCGGCGGCAGGCGACGAAGCGGACCCCCACGCGCGGCACCTCTACAACGCCGAGATGCTGCGCCATGGCGCCCAGAGTGCGCCGCACTTCGTCATGTTCTTCGCCCCGTGGTGAGCGGCGGCCTGGAGAAGGGCGAGGGGTGTGGCGAGGGCCCCTCCGCTGCTCCCGGTGACGTGGCAGCCGGAGGGAGACCCGGGGAGGGCGGCCGGGAAGGGTCCCGGAGGTGCAGGCGTGGGGGGGGGGGGGGCTCCGTGGGACGTGTGTGCCGCCGCCTCCATTCATTACCTCCCCCTTACATCCGTGACCATCACGCAAGTTGTCCTCCTTTAAAGGATTTTGGGACGCAACCCTACTGATAAGTATATGTACGTCCTACAATTTTGAGCATGCCCCAGCCTGCCCGGCCGGCTGTAAAGATACTAAGAGTTGTGGGCTGCTGTTGCTTTCCTCGTCTAAATCGGCATAGGATTGGGTCCTTAAGCGGCTCCAGGCATGCCCCGAACCGGTGAGGGATTTGCTAAAAGTTGGAGAAACCTCGTCGTTGAGCAGTCCCCCTCATCGCTTCGTGGCAAAAGCCGATGGGCTAACATGGTTAGCTGCATCCAAAACTGCATCCGTGAAGTTCTCGGAGTTATCTGTGGTTGTGGCTGAAACCAGGTGCTGATATGTGAAACAAACATATTTCGACCCTCCCCCTCCCGCCGGCATGTAAATTAGCTTTTGAAGGGTGGGAACAGAAAAATTGGAGTGGCTCATTTTTCTGATCACAAAAATAGTTGCTGCAATCTCTGACATGCCAGGATTTTCAGACCTGATGTTCATCCAAAGTCTAGACACAGACGTTTTGATAAGGTTTCTGTAAGCCATCCTTAGCCCATGGGAAAGAGGCAGTCATGAGTAAATATATATTTATACTTTGCAAAACAAACAAGAGCAATTATTTAGGACTACTTAGTGCCCAGTAATGGCTAGAGTACCCATTAGATCTCAGTACATGCATTTTAAGTGCACAGTAGAGACCAATGCAGAAGTTACTGCAACTATCATAACTGCTTCCCCGGGTGAACTATTAGCCTTAAGCAACACAGCCACTGGTAAAGAATAATGGGAGTTGCTGGCCAAAATATGTGGATGCCCAGAAGTTGCTCTCTCCTAATACAAAACTAAATCGTATAGTATCTGATGAAGAGACATGAGATTGCAGAAGCTCCTTATGCAATTTTAAAATGGCAGTGTCAGCCTTGATGAAGGAAGTGACATTAAAATGGCAAATGCTTTTCAGTGCTGTGCCATAGAGATAGATTGGGGATGCCACCCTGCTGCCCAACAGCCTCCTTGATGGAGTAGGTAATAGTGGTTCCGGGTGACTCCATGCTGAGACTATCTTTGTAGCTTCCACTTGGGACTTAATGACCTTCATGACAACTGTACCCCAACACATGAAGAAAAGGATATCTTTGGTTTGGTCTTTGCTCCAAAGACTGAAAAAGGGAAGGAGGTGTTCCAACTTCATTGCCATGGTCAAAGTATTTCTTGCTGAGATTTGAAATTATGGCATTGCTTCCCTTAAGCAGGGTTGGAGGACCCATTCAGATGGTCCACCCCAAGAGCCTGGTGAAATCCAGTGAATTTCTAAACATACTTGGGGCTTTTCCAGAGAAGATAGCTGATGATTCAACAGAGAGCTTAGTCCCAATGTGGGACAGAGAGATGTGGAGGACCATCAACAATTACACTTGAGTGCACGCCTTTGTTCTGTAGAGTATGCTTTATTTCTTGGTATGCTGGGAAGCTGTTGTCCATGAAGCAGAGTGGATGTCAGCTTGAGCACAAATGGTGTAAGACGTGAAATGAAGACACACCCTACAGCACTTGGTCATGCCTATTGTTGTCTCCATTGCATTCCTGAGTGCTACTAGTGTCTAGTGGAGCTGTTTCAGGTGGTCCGTTAAAAATGTCCCCAGCAGATGCGGCCCAGGTCATCTCAAAGACATGTGTGATTGCTGAGACCTTTTTGTATTGCGCTGTGAGGACAAAATTGTAGTGAACATAGTGCAGTGATACTGTTTTTAATGCAGCTTCATTTGAGGTAACTGATCCCACCCTCTGCCCAATTTTGTGGAACTAGCTTCAGTTACTGTGGCCTACTGATATGGACAGAGTACAACCAGCATTGTGATTGACCATGTGCCCTCTCAATCCTTGTCCAAGCTAATAAAAGCTAGTTGAGATGAGTCCAGGAAGTGATAGATGCATCTTTGCAGGAATGGGTGGTTCCTCTTGTCCTTAAGGATACAGTAGTACAATCTCTCCTGAAGAAACCTACTTTAGACCAAATGACAATTACGTCCAGTCGCAAAGGTATTCAATATGGTTGTGGCAGGACAATTGCAGGTACTGCTGGGGAGTACTGACTGTTTTGACCCTTTCCAGTCTGGGTTTTAATCTGCTTATGGGACTGAATCAGGCTTTGGTATGGATTATTTTATTAGGAGAGGGATGAGGGAGTGCAACCCTGTTCATTCTGCTTGTTGTTAGTTTTTGATACCTTCAGCCATGATATTCTCCTTGGCTGGATATTGGAGGTGCTGTGTTACAGTGACTCTGGTCTTACTGCAGGGCAATTTCAGAGACTACTGTTGGGTGGCTGTTCCTCAACAACCTCCTTTGCAGTTGAGCTATAGAGTTCTGCAAAGTATAGATTGTTCCCCATTTAGTTCCACATCTGTATGAAGCTCTATGAAGTCATTAGAAGATTTAGAGCCAAGTGTTATTGACAGGCAAATGGCAAGATGGAAGCTCTGCAGGTGAGTGGTTCCTGAGTGTGGGAGATAAGCTCATTGCCTGTTCCACATGGGGTTTCTCTGCCTTTGAAAGATAGGTTTATGGTCTGGCAGTCCCCCTTGATCTATTGCTGTTGCTGGAGGCTTAAGTGTCTGTGGTAGAATGCCTTTTACCAGCTTTGGCTGGTTTGCCAACTGGACAGGGAAAGCTTGACCACAGTAGTAAAAGTGCTAGTAATTTCAAGTCTGGATTCCTACAAAGTACTCCATATGGAGCACTCTTAAGGCTGGTCCTGAAGCTGGACCTATGACTGTAGCAGCTTCACTGTTGTTAGGAGATGCCCATTTTAAGCATGCAACTCTTTTGCTGAGGGATCTGTGCTAGCTGCCTGTTCGCTACCAGGCTGGCTTTAAGGATTTGCTACAAGCACATAAAGCCTCAAACCAACTGCGATCAGAATACTTGAGAGGGTGCCTTCTCCCTTATCCCCTTGCTACTGATCATCAGATGGCATTCTTCTGGCGACTCCTCATGGCCCAGTTGGACCCTACCTGGGGAAGAGCCTTCAGTGTGGTGGCCCCTTTTCTATAAAACTCCCTTGCCTGTGGTGATCAAGCAGAGAGTAGTATCGTGTGTTTTCTTCACCTCTTAAAAAAGATTAGTTCAAGAAAACCTCTGTGGTTGACCAGCCACTCTTTTTATGGGTACTCTGTCTTAACCTCCCCCCCCCCCAAAAAGAATGAATATGGCATTTTATTCCTTTTATCTATTGTTTACTGCTTTGAAATCTGTTTAGATGCAGAGTGATGCATAAATGTTTTAAATGCATAATGAGCAAGTGTAAAGAGATTTATTGAAAATTGGGGCCAAAAAAATGTCCTAACTTCAAATAAATGCTAATGAAGTTTGAGCTGGTGATGATTGACAAGCAAAGGGTTCTTTGTGGTGGAAAAACTTCCACCCAGGGTATAGCTGCTATGAAAAAAAGTTAAATTCCATCTTGGGAGTCATTAGGGAAAGAATCAACAATAAAACTGCCAATATCATAATGTCTTTAGATACATCTATGGTACATTATGGAGTACTTTGTACAGTTCTGGTCAAAAAGGTATTTAAAATACATTATAAAGATGGCTTTTTAAAGGGCTTAGGCAGCTTCATGGAGAATAAAGCTGTCAAGAACTTGGATTGCACAACATGCTAAACTCATTGTGGGTAACTAGCCATGGTGAGTAGCATCATGTGATTCTGGGCTGGTTCCTGCAAAGTGCAAAGGCAATAAGGCACCTTGCTAACAACCCTTGTGCTAGGGATTGTTGTACCTACAGTGCACTGTCATGTCATCTAATCCTGGGTGTTTGATCCCTTGTGTGTAGAGGAACCAGTCAGCAAATTGCTTGGCAACAGCAGCAAAAACCTTTTGCTGAACTTTCTGGGCTTCTGCCTAAGACAACCACTTCTCCAAGTGCCCAGGTGGCACTTTGGAGTGAATGTTATTGGCTTGGTCTCCATTGCTGTGATCAACTGAGTTTTTCTTCTTTTTTTTCTTTTTTGATGGGAGGATTTTTTTTATTTTTTGCAATTCTGAAGTGACAGCCCCTTCAATGGCACACTGGAATGGCTGTCATTGGTTTACCAACTATCAAAACTCAGTCTTCCTTCTGAAAATGTTTTTTGATCAGGTTAATCGGGGTTTTGCCAGGGACATATGCAGCCATATTGTTGTTTAGGATATTAATGAGGCAAGTTTGCACATTTGAGATAAGCAACAAAAAATTACACAAACTTTAGGCACAGAGGACTATGTGATGGTGAACCAGTGGCAACTGCTCCACTGTGCCATTTCGGCACTTTGAAGGGCTGTCCATGGCTTTCGCTTTGGAGATTGAAAAAAATATCCCTTAAAAGGGGAAAAGATACAGTTACCTGGTTTTCACATAATCCTATTAAATATATTGTTGAAGTCTAGGTTGTTGTAATGTACAAACCCAGCTTTCTGAGAAGAAAGAGCATCCATGGTTTAAGAAAGAGAAGAGGCAAGGAAGAGAACTCATGAAGTTGGGTCAAGAACTATGGATTATTAAAACCATGGGTTGTTGTTACATTTGAAAGCAGAACCATAGATTGTGAGTTGGTTACTAGCAGCAAGCTAGTCCAGCTGCTCTACATGCACCACAAAGGTATTTGGGGCAAAGGCAGGAAGCAGCTGAAGGAGAAGGAAAATAACCCAGGGACTGAGAAACAAACTAGTTTGTTCAGTCATCTGCCAGAGAAACCCAAAATAGGACAACAAACCATGGGTTAAATACATGATGAGTTAGTGTTA